CTGCATTTCAATTGCCCCCCGCCGCTATTTTTTCATCATTGCCAAGGTTGGAGTGGCAATCACGCTGGCTGCGATAGCCGTCGTCATTGTAAGCGGGCTGTCGTTGCTGCCCGACGAAATCGACCGACGGCAAGATGATTTTGGCCGGGGCATCGCTGGCATTCCTGGCAGCCTTGCGACAGTTATGCTTAGTTGTGGCGATCACGTCTGCTTCCCAGACGTGTACCACGCCACGGGCCGTTGCAAGCGAATATACAAGAAAGGCGTCATTATGGGTTTCGCCATCTTCGTCGGTTGCATGTTAGCGTTTTGCATTCCTTGCTACGTGACATTCGGCACAACCATCAAGCCCAATGTGCTCACCAATATCGGCCTGGACGCGCTAGGAAATAGGACGCAATTTCCAATGTGGCTGGGAGTGGCCACGAACGCTGTATTAGCGTTTCGTTTTCTCTTCATCATTCCGTGTTTTATGCCATGCATCTTCGTTGCTTTGGACGCCATGGCAGGGAAAGTGTTTAGAATGGATTTGAGCGATGTTTCCAGGCTCGATAGTATTCTCGTATCGTTGCCGGCCCGCGCCTGCACATTCATTGTATGTTTCACCACGCGGATGGTTGGGTATGCTATTCTTGTCGTGTGTGCGACCTTCTTCGAGAGTTTTCTGGGTGCCTTGGTCACCATTGTCGGATCATTGTTTCAGTCTGTAAACGTCATCGTCATTCCTTGCCTCGCTTATTACAAATTGTGTCCAGAAAGGCTTCAAGGTCGTTACATGAAGACAACTTTCTTATGGTTGATGGTTGTCATTGGGATGACATGGTGCGTGGGAGGCACTTTCACTGGCGTCATGGACGTTGCCAGAGGCAAGAAAACCTGAGCAGATGCCATCATAGGTATTACATGTTGACGGTGCACCAGTCCTACAAGTCTTAGAGTCAATACTTTCAGTTTACATAACTTGTCGAGTGCAGTTTCGCGCTCCTCTTCCAGTCTCCCTCTCGCCATGCTTTCGCTCGATCGCCGTCTTCACAATCTGGCTCGCACTTCTTCAGCTGCATGTTTTGAGGGGTGCGCTCGGTATTTTCGCGCTCCCCTCAGGGACCTGAAGGAATTGCATTCTCAGTACAGTTTGTGCTCCCCCTACGTCCCCCTTAAAACTACGGTTCCCGAAGACACATACGGCGAACCACCGCCGCCCCCTACCTTTTGACAACGCGTATGTGGTCAAACATTGGGCTGAGGTCTAGCCAAGCTGTTGGACTATTTGTTTCCGCGGCCGTTGTGGAATCCATCGTGGGAACATTTGGGGGACAAAAAAAGTTCGAAGAGGAGTAGAGGGAGGAGAAGGAGGAGGAGGAGGAGGAGGAAGAAGAATAAGAAGAAGAGGAGGCCTTTGGGAAGCCTCCTGGGGCCTCCTGGGTGCTTCCTGTGGACCTCTTGAGGCCTTTCTGAGGGCCCCTTGTCACTAGGCGGTACCGGAGGCCTCTTTTGGACGCTCTGGGCCTTTTGGAATCTTTTCGGGGCCGTCTTGGGAGCCTCTTGGGCCGTCTTGGAGGCCTCTTGCGCCGCCTTTTGGGCCATCTCAGAGATTTCCTGGGCCGTCGGAAACCCGAGAAGGAGCAGACGCTCAAATTATTGAAGCACCGACTGGGAAACAACAGCCTGGGGCTACACGGGTCCTGGGTGTCCTTTTGGAGGCCTTTTGAATTGTCTTGGGCAATCTTGGCGATATTGGGGCGTCTAGGAGCCACCTTAACCATCTTGCAGGCTGTCTTGGAGGCAATATTGGGCCATGTTGGCCGTCTTGGAGTTTGATTTGGAGGCCAACTTGGGCGTCTTGGAGGCGAAGGGAGGTGCTTCGCGATGTTTCCTGTTAGCTGGAGTTGTTTACAGGGGCTCAAAGAGTCAAAAGTTCGGTACGCCAGCAGTCCCTCTGGCAAGCAGCAGGGGGCGGCGGATCACGTGGCCTGTGGCATCTTGGTTCTCAGAGGCGGAATGTCTTCTTGACTTTCCGCCACCTCTACAGTCAACCCGCGTAGCAAGGACGGGCAACCTTCCCAAGGGCACCCCTGCATCCTTGCCTCCTCGGTCCATCCCTCGCCACTTTCGTTGGCTGCGCCCCGCTCGAAAAGCTTCGAACGGGGCGTCCAAGGCCTTTGCATCCTTGTCGCGCATCCTTACCATACGGGTGGAATGCAGCCATGTGTTTTTTTTGGGGGGGGCGCGCTGCCACCCTCCCCATTGTTTTTGGAGGCCGACAGGTTGGCACCAACACCGGTGTCGTCGGTTACCTCCGCCTAGGGTTAAGTCGGGCATGTCCCTCTACAGGAGGAAGATCCACAGATAGTCAACAAAAATGGTCTGGGGACGATTTGTTTGACCATGTTTGAGCATTTGAGAGTATGTTTTTCGTATTTTCTTTTTTTCTTCCAAAATTCCCCTGGAGGGGGACACGCCCGACCTAAACCTAGGGAAGGTGATACTGCTCTCAACATTAGTGGTACATTCGGGCTTCCTAGGTGGCTTCGAGATTACCATCAGCACCAAAAAACAGTATCACCTTACCTTGGTGAAACGCCCCCTCTGCGCTATTGTATTGTCGCAAATTGCCTGGCCCCCGAAGTCTGTCCGTATATCCTCCCCTCAGTCTTCCCCATTCCCGCGTGTCGCGTGCTGTGCATCGGGAGACGTTCGCGTTGTCCACCTTCTCTGGCTGTGCTCTTCGCCACGCTCCCCCAAACCCGTCAGTGTCCCCCAAGAAACCTCTAAAAAACTCCTGGACGTCCCCCCAAGAATATCCGCATCAGATTTCAAGGGACCTCCAGCAGGCATGAGGCAGATGCCTT